TGGAATCCCTCTGTTTGCCCTCAGATGGCTTCGAAGGCTTCAGACGATGAGAAATATAGCTGAGAAAAATTTTGATCTAAATTTCTGGTTGAATAATGTGCTACAAAGATTAACAGTGGGTGAAATGGGAGGTCATCCTCTGTAGAGGTTCAAGTAAGAGAAAAGCAGGAATCTGTTTTATGCCACTAAGTAAAATCCATAATCATTATTATTCAATAAATCATTCATAGAAAACGCCAATGAATTTTCATGTTTTGTTCTACAGTTCTTCAGTTCAAAGGAAAAAAAACATATGTGGCTGTTATAAATTTCAGTTTGTTTAGATATTTTTAAAAGAAAAGCCACAAGAATAAATACAAATAAGAAAAGAGTTTGAAATTTACCGAAACTATTAGAAGTACATAAAGTATTAAGATAATTTATAGTGTCCTGCTGGAGTATAGATTTCTTAATTATTCAGTATTTCGTTCCAACCAAACTTTATTTAGTTTGAAATGTTTCATCGCGACTAAACAAAGTGGCACATACCTGTGTAGTGAAATGTAATGTATGGATTTATTTCAAAGATCTTACTCAGGATACTGCCATGATCTGGTGATCTGGATTTTTGGTTGTGTTCAGTTTGCTACTTTTGGTTTTCAGTTAAACTTTGATTTATGTCACTGTGTGTTTTCTAATCACTAGTTTAATTTGCTAAATGTGCAAGGATTTAGACTTTTTAAGTACAACCATAACACATGCACACAAGGGGGAAACCTTGTCTTGACATTTAGTTTGTGAATGCTGCATTTTCCAAACAAAGAATTCCCCAAATATAAATCTAAAAAGTGGGAGTTTTTAAATTCCTTTAGTCATTACGACCTCAATTTGCTCAAACTTCATGCACAAAATTTTAGACTGACACTTTTGTCAATTCATCCAGGCAACTTTGACCAGCTTCTCCATGCTGCCACATCAATGTTTCGCGAGGTATAACTGTGGGGCTTTCTACCTGTGAAGCTGAGGATGTCTGCAGCTTGTCCCGTGTTACCAAAGATGATTCAATTTCTCATTCTTCAGTTCATCAGTTTTTTTGGCAAAATCTTGGTAGGTTTTCAATTGAGCCATATTGTTTATATTTTAATGTGATAAATTGAATGAATGGGATTTTTAAAGCTTGGGATACACTAATATGCTGCAAAAGGGATCTATAAAAGGGATCTAATAAAGAAAAAACTAAACAAAACAAACAGCAGGAATGTTTGAAAACCCTGCATAATTTTTATTCCGCTGAACAGTACCACTGCAGTTTATGTTAATTATTCCTATTAAATTCCAATAAAATTTTAAAAGGTTTGCTGTTGTAACGTGACAGCATGTCAAAATCTTCAGAGGGTGTGAATACTTTTGCATAGCTTTGTAAATGAACATGTCATTTAGGAAAAAGAGTTAAGACAAATATCTATTGATCACAGCTACAGAACGTAAATTGATTTTGTCTTCATAATCATATTAGAGCAGTTGGAGGTGTTGTTCATAGATACAACCCACTAATTTTGTTTTTAAACTATACTCAAAAACCAATCAGTTCATTAAACTGTCGCTTTTGTTCTACGCGTCTATTGTTTCTCCTTAGATTAGTTTTTAAGGGGACAAAAGCTAAAGCTGAGTCTGTGCTGTGTCCAATGCCAGCGTGATTAAATCTGGATCCCTCACTGGCTCTCTCCATGGTGCTGAAAAAGCCCTATATCAGATTACGAGCAGCAAGAATAGGACCTTAGATAATCCATTACAATAATTGATTGACGGAGCATTGAAAGTGGTCCTGTAGTGAGCACCAATTACAGTCATGTCCTGTTGCACTTTTTAAATTGTCCCAGTTTGGCACAACACATGGAGGCAATCATTCATGTGGGAAGTCGAGGGTGCTTTAGTAAGAACACACATCCCTGCTGCACTCAAAGTTAATGTTTAACAGAAAAACAGCACAGAACTCGTGTAAATGCTCCTGGTGAAAACCTCAGTAACTAGAGGTGAGGATTACTATTGTCTCCAGGATTAATTCTTCCTCCTGTAGGTGGTGCAATGAAATAACTTCTGAGCTTTACCATTTCTGTATGTCCAAGTATCACCCCAATACAGTTTAAGCACCTAGGGAGGTAAAAAGTCGGTTTGGTGTTTAGAAATACACGTTTTTTTAATCATTACTTATTTCAAGAATGCAGTTAAAAATGTGAAATCCATTTAAGAGTTTCTCACTGTTCAATTTAAAGTGTATGACTTTCAGATGAAAAAAAAAAGAGTTTTTCAGAAAGTGGGAATACGACAGAATACTTATTGTACAAATAAAGAGATTTTTAGTAGAGATATGTTTTTAAAAGTTGATTGTTGTGTATGTACTCAATATTTGGGTGGGGCTCCTTTTACAATAATGAATCCATGGAATCAGGATGACATGGAGGCCTTTGGTAATGCTGAGGGAAACAAAGTGAACTAGGTGCTGGGTGTACCGAGCAACTAAAGTAGCTCTGTGTTCCTCCTGGCTCTGGAACCTTAATTATCCTGCTGAAATGCAAAAAAAATTACTTTTATTTCAAAAAAGCAGCGGATCTTACTATACTTTCTAAACCAGAGACACTGGGTGTCTTTTTGTTTGTTTGTTTTATCTACTTAGAAATGATTTGACACAATAAATCCAGCACTTAGGAGTATAATCTGGATATTTCTTTGGTCTTACAGTACTATGCTTTAGATTGGTTTCAAAGTTCTCTGTGGGCTCTGATAATCTATTTTACTTCCATACTTCCATTACTTCTTTCACTTAACTTTCAATGAATATGCTAGCACTATGAACAAGGAAGCTTCCTCTGACCTTTTCTAGCTTACCCTCCATGTGGGGGCTGTCTTTAACTATTTGGTAGACAACTGTAACTCAGCTGTTTTTCTCATGTAGACATTTCTGGATTAAAACTTAACTAGCATTTTAATTCACTGAGAGCATAAATGTTTGTCTTCCATTAACAAGAAGTCCTAATCTAATAAAAATTGAAATAAACACTTAAAATACGTCACTCCTTTTCACTTTATAGGTAAGTTTTACTTTTTGAATTGAATTACTGAGAAAAAAATTAATTAAAATGTACCAGAACGCGTTCAAATAACATAAACATAAAGTTAGAATAAAACGAGATTTAAATAATAGTTTCAAAAAACAATAGTAAAGCAAGTGAAGAGGTTTTGGAGGATATGGCCCAGTCTGCAGAGAGAACAAACGGCTGCAGCTGTATGCTAATGAGGCGCCTATGCTTCCAGTCCGCGCGGGGCAGCACGCGCCACTGAGCAAACACGCTCATGCGAGGCCGGCAACGCAGGCCCACGCGCCCCACAGAAATGATCGAGGGAAAGAGGAACTCGTTAAAATGCCATCAAAGCTTGTAGTCCCAACAAACCAAGACTAATAGAGGCGCAAAGGAGAAGAATCAGAGAAGTCAAAGAAAGTATAACTTAATATTTAAGTTGTATTTTAAATGTATATATAACGGCTAAACAGCAACATTTAACTATTTAAAAGCCTTTTATAAAATGGTTATTATCTTTAAACTTTAAAGAATAAATTATCTTTCATCAGATCAATAGCCTACATGATAAACTTTAATAAGCGTATTCTCCATATAAGATGTTTAAGTTTTTATTTTTGAAAACAATTCTTTAACCTGTCTGAGGTTAAATGGAGAATTTCACTCTAACATAACGGTGTGTTTTCAAGCAGGTGAGAGACGGATCCAGGACACAGAGGCCTATTGAAAGGAGGCTGCAGGCCTGCGGCTCAGCTTCGATTGTGTAATTATTTGACTTGGTCATACTGCAGCTTTATGCAAATGAGGGAAACAATGAACGACGATGGAGATTAATTCCTCCCTGGTCTCAGCACTGAAAGAGGGGGAAAGAATGCGCTCTGTGCCAAGAGGCGCACTGTCGCTTATAGCCTACGCCTGCTTTATCAGGAAACTCGGGCAAATGTATGAAATATTAGAAAAACAAATAAGGGATATGAAGAAAGTTTCATTAAAAGAAGGATTGGATTCGATCACGTTTGAAAACTTTTTTTTTAAAAGCTATTTAGTGAAAACTTAACATACTGAAAACAAAACATATATCTTCTCCAAGCAGAAGGAACAGCCGCTCTAAATATCTGCTGAAAATGTCCCATCAGAAGCTCTGCTCTTTGTGTGCAGCTCCCAGCACGCGTCTTGCTGTGGTCCAGATTGGCTGCGAGTCCTTTTTCCCAGTTAAGGGGTCAATTTCCCTTTGAAACGGTGAAAAAAAATAATAATATATCCACGCACACGCAGACGTGGCTATTGTGCGCAAAGACCAGAGGGCTTATTACTTATGTATGCAGCGAGATGTCTGATTTATATGTCGAGTTAAACTACCGAGGCAGACGCGTGTCCTCAAAAATAAAGAAATACTAGCCTAAACCCCTTTTTCAGGCTATAAAATAAAATAAAACCAAATGAAAGTTTCTACATGATGCTCTGGGCAGGTTTCCTGCGTAAAGGTGCGTAAAGATGGAGGAAAACTCTACAGATGTCGTTTCAAACATGCTTATTTCACCAACATGTTTTGAGTAATTGAAAAGGAAAAACAGCTTTTTAACTATTTTTCTCTTAATTCTAAATCGTGATGATTTTTAGCAGTGATGGACATTTCCATTTGGCGTCTCAGAGGCCCCCCAGAGGAGAGCCACAAAGCAACGGCACGTGTGCATTTGTGTAGGGGCCCATCAGACCGTAAAAAGAGGAGGGTCCCGGCGTGTGCCTCGGCCGGTGAGGGGTGGGGAGGTGGGGAGCATTAATGTAATAAACCGCCAGTACATCTGCTGAGCTATCTGCACATCCTCCAACGAAATCCACCGAACCCAGGCTTAGAGCCCTCCCACAATAAAATCCACTGGGATCTTGGTTTCATCCCATTGGTCGGGGATGCTGCAACAGGGGGGGGCGAGAACAATAGCATCATTCCGGCATAAAAAGAGTGGAGCTATGCCTTGGAGACGAAAACATTTCAGCAACAGAAGGATCGATAAAGAGGGGAGAAAAAGGTCCCTTAAAATTCTGGTGTTGCCATATTTTTTAACCAATCTGGATCCTCCAGACTTCAGCCACAGATCCGAAGTGCCTTTCCGCCGTTACTCGCCAAGATGCCCAAAGGATTCCTGGTGAAAAGGAACAAGAAATCCGCACATGTTTCCTACAGGACTCGAACTGATGAGGATGATCTCCAGGAGCTACACACCCCAGCTGCCTTGCCAAGTCACAGGGACCCATCCCCGCCGATGTCCGTGGCGTCCAGCCCCGACCGCGCCTCGGTGTCACCAGATTTCGTTGCTTCCGACGCGCTGGTGCCAAGACTGGAAAAGCCGGAGCAGTTCGGCAATCCAGAAACGGTGTGCCAAGCCATCTACAGCCCCACCCGACCCATCAGCAAGGAGCACGACAGGGGATATTTTGAGCGAAGTTTCAACCTGGGCTCGCCCGTTTCTGCAGAGTCATTCCCCGCAGCAGCCTCTCTCTCTGGCCTGGATCACCTCCTGTACGCTCCGGTAGATCTGAAAATCGGCACCAGCAACAGCAGCCGCGGCGGCGCAGCAATCGCCACTACAAGCAGCACCAGCAGCAACAGCCTATCAGCACCAAACAACCGGGGCGCAACCAAGCGACCCGCCACAGATGGAGCAGAGCGCAAACCGAAAGCCGCCTCAAAAAAACCCAAAGCCATCAGGAAGCTCAACTTTGAAGACGAGGTGACCACGTCTCCGGTGCTCGGGCTGAAAATCAAAGAGGGGCCGGTGGAGATAAAACCCAGAGCGCAGTCCTCCGGGGGAACCAAACCTTTAGGAGAGTTTGTGTGCCAGTTGTGCAAAGAGGCGTACGCGGATCCATTCTCCCTGGCACAGCACAAATGCTCCCGCATAGTCAGGGTCGAGTACCGGTGTCCCGAATGTGACAAGATGTTCAGCTGCCCCGCTAACCTCGCCTCTCACCGCCGCTGGCACAAACCGCGGACCAGCGGTGGCGCGCCGGCGGCGGCGCCCGCGCAGGGCGTCAAGCCAGAAGTGGCCAAAATGCAGCCGCTGGGCGTCAAGTCGGTCTCCGATGAAGCCAAAGACACGAGTGACAGAGACACCCCGAGTCCCGGGTGTTCCGAATCGGGATCAGAAGACGGCTCATACGACTGCCAGTTCTGCGGGAAAAGGTTCAAGCGGCAGGCGTACCTGAGGAAACACATCCTGGCTCACCAGGCCCTGCAGAAGAAGGTGCTGGAGGAGCACGGGTTTCAAACCAGCGAGCGATCAGCGCCCGAGCAGCCTCCGGTGTCCGCCCCCTCCTCTTCCTCAGCATCATCAGAGGAAGCCTCAAACCAAAGCCCCCTGAATCTGAGCCCGGTGGACTGCCTGCTGTGCCCGGTGTGCGGGGAGAGTTTCACCAGCAGGGCCGGCCAGGAGAGACACCTGCGCCTCATGCACTCCTCCCAGATCTACCCGTGCAAGTACTGCCCCGCCACCCTCTACAGCTCACCGGGGCTCACCAGGCACATAAACAAGTGCCACCCCTCGGAGAACAGGCAGGTGATCCTGCTGCAAATGCCGGTGCGCCCCGCCTGCTGAAGAAAAAAAACAGAACTTGTGCCTTTGATGGGGGAAAATGAAAATCAAAAAAATCAAAAAAGTGGCTTTAGGTTGAAAAAATAAAAGCCCACTGCCATAACTTTAGACCAATGAAAGGCAGGGCTGTTTGATGTTTAAGTGGTGTCTTTTCCATGCCAATCAGTGACTTTTGAATGCTTGTCTCTATATTTGAACTACATATAGGCCTATTTTAAAATTTTATTTCTCAAATTAGTTTATCAAGAGGGGGAGAAGGAATACAAAGCGTTAGTTTGACTGTTAAAGGGTATTTTTCTAGCACAGAACATGCTCAATGATAGCTTCTAGACCTAAGAAATGTCTTAAATCTCAGCAATCTTTCTTCTCCCCATCAAAGTGTCTTGAATTCACCGACCGTGATTGCTCTATCACTGTAGCTTTACGCCTGTTTGTGAAGGACAGAACTTTATCAACTTTGTCTTGGTGGAAAAAACAAAAAAGTGTGACTGAGAATTTTTCCCTGTTTAGTAGAACCACAAATGCCTTTAGTAAACAGAAAAGCCTAGTCTTAAATAGCCTGCATACACATCCAAATCCTGCTGTAAAACTGCCTTAAAAAGTCAACATAGATTGTTTTAATTTTGATTGCTGGCACATATTTTATTCCTATTATTATTGAAGATTGTTGCAATATTTTTTCCATCATATTTATTTATTTATTCTAATTATTTTATGTAACTTATTGTGATTTCTTTTCTCTTGTGAATTGTTCTGGCAGTTTACATGTCGTATAGCCAAATGTCTTTTAATTTTTTCTTTTTTAATTTATTAGTTGTGATAATTGTCGTGGGTCGGGTTTTAATCAACAAATCTTCACAGCTCTTGTGTTTTAAAAAAAAATAAAGAAAAACGTAAAGCTCTTACCTTAGATGCAATCTTTTTTAAGGACAAGTTATTTTTCTTAAATGTTGGCTTTTATAGCGCTTTGATTGTATGTGTATATCGTTTGGTGTCTATTGAAATAAAAATATTTTCAAAAAGACGCGCGGGCTGGGAGTGCTTCAACTTTTTCCACTTTAATTACTTCATTTATGAAGAGTTTAATGCACATATTTATGCATAAATTGCATTTTAATGTTTTTTCTCTCATTAAAACATAAAATCTTCAAAAAAATCCTATAAAAAACAATCCAAATGTCGCATAAACTTTTTTTTTTAAAGTTGCAAATGGATTAATTTATAATGCATTTTAAGATCAAGAAAAATGAGCCCATATTTTAAACTTGTGCGCTGATTTCTTTAAAATAACCCGACTATACAATCCCATTTATTTAACCAGTTAAAACAAATTACAAGTTAAGATTCTAAATGTTTGAAAGTTTGGAAAACCTTTTAATTCGCAGCACCATCTGCCATCAGGAGTCTCTCTTTGTGAATTACTGTCGGATCCAGTTTATCAGAGCCATTTTCCAGTAAATCATCAGCAAAGGCTCAAGAGAGGAGAGAAGCACTTAGAGCCTTATCATAAATCCCCTGCTGCCTTTAATACCATGTCAGGACATGACAGCGGGACAAAGGAGGTGGTGGATCAGAGCTCACCTCTGGAGCAGTAAAACATCTGTCTGCTTCATGGAAAGAAAGAGAAACTCTTTTTTTTTTTTTTTCTGGGTTGCAAGATTATTAAGGAAACATCAGCTCCACTGACTTTAGATCTAACCAGCAGGAGCTTTAAAGCTTAAAGTAAGGTGAGAAAACTCAAACAAGTCAGAGATGCAGTGAGGAGAGTGTTTGACAACAACTTTAAAGATTTTAAAACTACTCAGAGTTGCCAACCCAGACTTTCATGACTGTAAATGATCCCTGTCCAATACAGTAGCTGTCACTCACATCTCTGGGTGTTTTCAGATTGGGTGATGTTGCAACCAGATACTTTCAGTGGAAGCTTGGATGAAAAAGTAGCTTCTAGATGTAAGGGGGAAGAAAAAAAAAGAGTAGGATCTGAAAAGTGTGCATGCATTTGTTTCCATGCTCCTGTTGTGTCCGTACTTTACACAAGCACCTGCAGTGGCAGCTGCAAATATTGCATGTCTTTGTTTTTGGATGAATAGAGACAGATTTAAAGTAAATTCTTTATGTATAACAAATCAAGCTTATTCAGATTGATGGAGACAATCTGCTATTTATTTGCTTAATCTTACATCAGGATCTTAAAGCCCATTCAATACCTGAGTTGGGGCAGTGAGACCTAAACAGGAGGAGTGGTTGCAGAAGATCCCTGGAAATACATCAAACATCTCGGTCCAGAAGAGTGCAGCTCTAGGAACATAAAAGATGCTGCGCAGAACCCTCAAGCTCCCAGGTCTCTGGTAGAGGACCCGAGCTTGGAGGAAAAAAGGGGGGAGACCGCCCTCGGTGGGTGAGGAAGAGTTTTCATATAGTTCAGTTTTGATTTCAGCTGAGCAGAACTTTCTTCCATGTTTGTGGTGTTCCCTAAATGATCTAAAACAAACTGTAAATGGGACTCACTGTGGCTTTCTGGGTGCTACTCTTCCACAAAAGCCACTAGGAGTCGGTGAATGTAGATCTCTGCAGAGTTACTAGATGCCTAATGACTCCTACTCTGAATACTGCTCTCCTCAACTGGCCTGGGAAGTTTGCAGACTCCTGCATTCTTGATGATATATTGAAAGGAGCTCTGTGGGATACAAATATCTGGATTTCATAAAGCAAACTCACCTTTAACCCTTTATAGGGCAAGTTACCATTTTTGATCATTTGCATACCCCTTACAAATGGAGTGGCATTTCTTTTACTCTGTTTTTCAGGAATTTCTCATAGAAGCACTTTTGTTATTTTTCTTAATATATACGGGCAAGTTGACGTTTGGTGTAATTACTTTCACATTCATTTATGCCATCAAAATATACATATTTTTTGAAGGTTACAAAGGTAATAAGGTCTTGTCCTGGATTCCAATACCACACTACAAAAACAATCTTTAAATTTGTGAAAATGTCTTAAAATAAGTGTATTTACCCTTAATTTGAGCAGGTAAATAAGAAAATCTCCGCCCTGAAGGAGCATTTTTATCCTTAAAATCAGATTATTTGATATTATGCTCTTGAAATAGGAGACTGCATTCCCCCCCCCCCTTATTTTAAATGTAAAATTTCTTATTCCATTTGCAAAGTATCTCACTTACCTGCTTAGTTCAAGAAAAAAATGCACATACTTTAAGAAAAACTGACTTGCTTAGATTTCAGTTTTTTGCATTTTACTCTTTGGTTGAAATTTAGATGATTAAAGTCTTTCACTGAATGCCCTATAAAGGGTTAAACTTACCATGACTGTCAGCTGTGTTCCTTGGTCTTTCACCAATGTTCTCCAACATGCCTACATAACACTGAGGTTAAATCACACACTGTTGGGCATTTATCAATCACTAGTTGTCCAATTCTAATGACAACCAGTTGCAATAGATTTTTTTAGGGGTTTTAAAAGAGAATTTTTTTTTTTTTTTTAATTAGCCCACTTTGCAGAACTTGTCATTAGTAAAAAAGGGTTTTAGCGGTTTACAGAAAAGCACATAAATGCAAACTTAAAATAAATATACTAATCAATCAAAATATTAAGGTGAATATTATACAATATAAAGACTTTTGCCACACAGTCTATCAACTGAAAATAAAATACTGTTACTCCAACTCAACCTTTCACCCTCATTTATGTTGTTTAGCCCAGTTTTATTAATATTCTGGACCTTTTTAAAGGAAAAAAAATAATAAAATAGCTTTTTAAAAATCACCCATCTGCCTCAGCAACACTAAGATGTTCGAAATGTGAAAATGGGCCCTAAAGACATGAAATAATACAATATGGAATCACAGTGTCAGCCTGTTCTGTTGTAACATATCTAGTCAATGACTGAAGAAGACAGCGCTGAGCTGGGTGAAAATGAGGTAACATTAGGATTATTTCTCACACACACAGTTTCAGGGCTCCAATTATGGTCAAGTGCTTTTTCTTGTGCCTTTATGTGGCCCAGGAGAGGTAGGGGGACCTGTAGGTGCTGCAGCGGCTGCACCTGTACCTCCTGGTGAGGTTCCATTACGCAGGCCTCCTCTAAGTAGGTCTGAGCAGCAGGGGAGACAGATGGGAGGAGGGTCAGGTTACCCCCGATGCTGCTGGCACAGCCGGGCCGGGGTCAGAGAGCCCACAGAGACAGCAGCATCACAGATTCAAACCCACACTAACAAACTTTAAATCAGCACGTTGCATAAAATAAATTCAATATAAAATGATAAACAAAATGCAGAATTTCAAAATGATTTAATGAAATGCTTCAATTTTCACGTTTCCAGTGAAGATAGCAGGACTTCGGTCATTAAAAACAGTTTGATATGTTGACAAATGATGAAAATTTCAAGCTTTTTTTGCTCTCTCATACAAAGATTATATTACAGGCATTATTATATATTTATATTAAGAGGGCAATGGTGGCCCTGGAAATTGAAACAATGTACAAGGATTTCTAAAACGAGAAGAGAAAAATAACAAGTCTAAGACTCAACTCATTTTCTTCACAAATATAAGATGCAGAATCTTGGTCCAGACACTTTCAGCTACTAAGCCACTAAAAGAGGAGTAAAATATCTCTTCAAAAGACGTTATTCTACAAGCTACAATCTTTAGATCAACATAGTGGGTATATCCTTTGAGAAACTTTTGGGAAAAACAAAAGCCACAGCTTGGATGCAGGCTTATATATTCATACATTCTTAAAAACAAAACCAAAGAGGGGAAAAAAAAAGCACAAAAACATTTCTGTGGACCTCTTGCTGTTTCGACTCCACATATTCTGCTGTAGGAATGAGCAAAACAAAAGGTGGTGAGATGCTGGAGAAAGACAGTAAGGCATAGAGGTGCAACAGATGGGGATAGTGTTGCAGCTTGGGTGGAGCTCTCAGAGTGAGTGCATTGGGGTGGAGGGAAATCAAGGGAGGGGAGGACACCTGGCTACCATGGCAACCT